GCGGCGTTTGAATGCGGTCTTTGGGACAAATGGAAGTTTGCAATTATAACTGTTGCCCATAAAGTATTCGCCGGCAAACTTCCTGTTGATCATAATGGTAGCTGTGATGATCATGATAATTTCCACATTATTACCACATCCGGTGCCCTATATATTACTGGAATATGTATCGCTCTTATTTTTATTATTGCAGAAAAATTGTGTACTTTTTTATTGCATAATTATATTGCCTAATTGAAATGTCATAATTTTATAAACAATGAAATTAACCATATAAGTTTGTAACCCTTATAAATTTAAGGATCACTCGACCTCTGGTTCTGCCAATTGTGCACTCATTTGCTGAATATTTTAACACATTTTAATATATAATATGTAAAGTATTTTATCCATATAGTATGTATGATAGCATGTTTGGATAGTATATGATATGTAGTATATTTTTAATACCTAAACTTTAGTTAGTTTAATTGAAAAATATATTATTTTTATTCTATACGTACAAATATGTCATACAAAATGTCAACTTGGTAAATTATAAAATATAACTTCCAAACTAATTAATTGTGGTATTCATTAAAATAATATAAGATATACTGTATACTTTATTAATAACACAGTAGCATTAACATTATTAGTAATAATTTATTAAAAGAAAGTATTATTATATTAATCTACAAATGTTACAAATATTGGTATATATAATATAAATACCACAAATTAATTTAATTAAAAAACTCTATGTCAAAATATATATGCTAAAACAATAAATCTTTATTAACTAATATATCCATTAATATTGATTAATCAATATTTCCATCATTTTCGTGTAAAATACGATAAGATGTACTTAGCACATATTGACAAAACACAAAAGAAACAATAATTTAATTAATAAATATTTTCACTTAATTAGAAATAAATATTTTAGGCCCATAGAGCTAGCATTAGTCTCGTAAACTTAACATTGTTCATAGAATTAATTTTAACCATAGAATTAGCATTGATATAGATTTTGCTTGGGCGTTTGTGGAACGCGTTCCATTTTCGTTAACCTTGTTCAGTTTCATACATGTGTGGGGCCCAATTGATATATAATTTATACAGTACACTGTATGAAAATTAAATTAAAAATTTTAATTGAAATCCGCTAGGGGGACGCCCATTACTAATATAGATTTAGCATTACTCATGTTAAACCTATGTTATAGACTTAAGCTGTAATTCCATAAAGATTTATTGAAAATTTCCTTATAAGATTAACATTGCCATAGACTTAACATGTAATCAAATGTTAAATCCTACAGAGCGGGCGGGGTGGAGGAGAGAGGTGGCAAGACAATTCTATAAACTAAATTATTCACATCTAAATTGTGGTTATAGATGTTATTATATTAATGTACAAATATTACAAATTTTAATTAATATAACATAAATATTACAAAATAATGTAATTGAAACATTCTAAATCAAAATATAACAATATAAATGGTATACTGAACAATATATCTTTGTGATTAATATATTAATATTTTGTTATTTGTATTGTCAAACCATTTTATGTGTACTTTATACAGTATACAATATACACTTTAAGACATTAGTCTTTACCAAAAAATTAAATATCTCCTAGTTCATCATTGAAATCAAGAAACTACGTAAAATAATCACAACTAGATACCCTAGGTATAAATGCGCCTGTGACATTATATAATGTCTGCTTTATATACTGTGTCCACCTTCGTAATTTTGGTTCAATCCACTCAAATGTATCTCAAAAGAATTTTGGGCATTATTTGCTAAAAGGGAACACAATGCTTTACTATAGACATTTTCATAATCAAAGTACTTTGGACATAGTGTATTAATCAGAATTAGGCTTGATTAATGATAAGGATGGTACTTAATTTTATACAAACTAATTAGGGTAAGGGTTTATATAATGTCACAGACGAATTTATACTTAGGGTATCTAATTATGATTCTATGAAGTCAGATTCTTGATTCCATTGATGAGCTAAATAAAAGATATTTTGTTATTTTTGGTAAAGATTAATGTCTTCACGTGTATATAGATATTTTGTAAAGACATAATACTATTTATTTTAGTAATTAATTTTTTTACTTAATACAAATTAATTGCATATAGAATTAGTATTACTTGGATTACCATTAAGATAAGCAGTATTAATAAAAACATTATAACATCATTAATATAATGAATGTGGATTTGTTATTTAAAAAAACAGCAAACTTTGTCTGTGATTTTAAAATCGCTAACCAAAATAATCCTTATTTATTTGATTTTGATTTTACACCCAAGGGCAACTTTACCGTAACATGGATTCAAATGGTAATAAACCTCTCAATTTGTAATTGAAAATTTTAATATTTTTTATTTGTATATAATATTTACAACACGATATTGTATGTAATAAATTATTACTAATAATATCTACAGTAAATATCTGTAGTAATAAAATATTAAATGTTCTAGGCTAATTATGAATGAAAAGATGCGTAAATGCATAGTAAAATAATGTTTGCAACTACAAATTAAATTGTTAGATTATTGTAAATTTGATACAGACAATAATATTATGGTAAAATAAAATTGTAATATTATTTACTTCTAGAATTCAAAAGGAGGATTTAAAACACTTTGTGCCAGTAGTTATCAAGTTTTACATGAATTGGTTCGGCGCACACATTATGGGTAGATGTGATAAATGAGTAATGTTTTTGCCATATTATTAAATAACATTAATTTGTAATTATAGTGCAATTCCTGTTGTCGTTGACGAAAATCACACGTTAAGTATCACTGGTTTTGAACACAAGTCTGAAACGGAAATCAATTATCTTTATGAAAATGTATGCATTTTTATTACAATATTGCAATCCTGTTTACAATATTTGTACTGTATATTCAGAAAGTGGATGTAGCACTTGGTTTATATCCAATGAATGATATGATACTGACATTTGCCGATATACTGGTGCCCCGGATATACAAATCATTGGCTATTATGAGTGGTTATTATCCCAACACTCAATCGTTACAATATTTTGGTCTTTTGAATATATTTGACACAAATGTTAGAAATAAATTATTTGACAATGATTTAACATTATAAAGTTTTGATTATAATATTTTATACAATGATTAACCTGCCATTTAATATTTTATACTAGATTTGGATTTGCTATATAACATCATATTTGGTTTGTTCAACAGTTTTAGCAATGATTGCGATGAATTTTACAAAGTATGCTAATTTAAATAATTTTATTTAAAATTTATAAATGTGATGTTTTTAGCAAAACATTTGGACATTCATATAGACAACAATCATGGATTACATTGAGTGCATTAGCTTTACAATGTAAATAATATAATTGTTTGTATTTAATTTTTAACCTAATATCATTGAAAAATTTGATATCTTTGATAAATTCCCGAATATAGCATAACTTTGTAACCTTGTTTATTTTATTATTTTTATAAATTGTTATTTTTTCAGATGTCAAGATTAAACACTTCACTAAATTATACTTGTTAATAATTGGCCTCTCATTGATAACAAAATTTGTGATTACAACACATTTTGAACAATCAATTTTATCAATTAATATTCATAAACCATATCAAGTCATTGATTCATTGGAAGATCTTAATCAAAGGATTGATATTAAGTGTACTGTATTTATGCCGTTAAGCAACTATCGACTATATAAAGTAATTAAAATAATTAATATTTTAAAAATTATTAACCATAATATGCTGTAAATATAGCAAAAATGGACTAAAATTGAAGAAAAAATTTTAAGCAATATACATGTAGATAACAACTTGATTGGATTAGATATGGCTAATTTTTACAAGAATTATTATGCCATTACATTAAATAATATTGGAGTTAAGCGAACTCACGTGTTGATGGGATTGGAAATTTATCTCGAACGTATACTTAAACAAAACATATACGACCGGACGTTACGGATATCAAAACATAAATATTTTGATCAAATCTATGGTTGGATTGTTAGAAAAAATGCCACTAATCCATGGCTTTCATCGATTTTAATGAAAATGTATTTTTTAAAATTAAATTATTAATTATTTGAAGGGTTATAATATTTTAGTAATTATTTTTAGATATCAATCGGCATTTGAATGCGGTCATTGGGACAAATGGTTGCTCACGGTTACAGGTGTTGCTCATAAAATATATGCTCCAAAGGATCATATTGTTAATAGTGGCAACAATGATGATGATGGTAATTTTCATATTATTGCCACATCTGCTGTCTTATATTTTATTGGCATATGTGGGGCTATTTTTGTTTGGTTTATTGAAAAATTGTATCCATAACTAATATTTATTATTAAATAACAATTTTTAACAAGTTTTACTAATTTTGTGCTACCTGAGCATTTATTGAAATCATGTTAATTATTTTACATTTAATTATTGATAGATAGATAATCATAGATAATAGATAATCATCAATAGATAAATAATTTCAGTTAATTTATTACTCTACTATTAATATGTGTATTTATATGACCATGATCGGTATAACTAACGACCTATTCTAATGGCACTTAATTAATCTTTGATTCCCGATTGGATTGCAATTATTATAACTAATTATTTATTTAATATCCAAAGTATTTTACATTTCAATTAGTTTTAATTGAAAAATACATTATGTTTATTTGTTAAGTAAAAATATCAAATAGAATTTCAACTTAATAAATAATAAAATATGACTTCCAAACTAATTAATTATGGTATTTATTAAAATAATATAAGGTATATACTTTATTAATAACACAGTAGTATTAACATTATTAGTACCGTAAAATCTTGTGCATTACCCGCGGGTTATACAAGGAAAAAGTGAAATTTTTGGAAAAGTTTTTATGAGCGGGTTACTTTTTTGAAAGAATTTTGTTCAAAAACAATTATTTTAATTTAATAATCATTTCATTGCTATAATAGGTATTGTTTAAGACAAACCTCAGCAAAGAAGGCAAGGATAAAGTGAGCGATGGATAACAACACCATTAATACGCGAAAGTTTAGCGGAATAGCCTCGACGTCCAGCTAATGAGGGTTTCATTTATTTATTCAATTAATTAATTTTCCAGTAATTATTGTATTAATACTAATAAATACCTCAAGGAATTCGGCAATACTATCGGCCGGATATATCACTAAATAGGCGCTCAATGCACTCATAGCAACCAAACTCGTGGTAAATAAGCCTTCGGTTAATAAGAAATGAGATAACATTATAAACTTAAATAAAATGACAACTATTAAGAGATTGATTGCCATACGATTGGTATAGATAGGCCTCCGATAAGGCGCTCCCTTCGAGAAGACAACGGAAAGCGTGATGTACTGGAAGACGGAAGAGGCAAAGATGGCGTAATTGTCATGACTTTTGAGGTCTTCTGGATCGCTGGTCTTATGCGGTCTATACCAGTACTGTTGCCATACGATTACAATAGCAATCACTTGTATGAATGCCACCAAAAGTATCTGCATAAGATGGCGTAATTGTCATGACTTTTGAGGTCTTCTGGATCGCTGGTCTTATGCGGTCTATACCAGTACTGTTGCCATACGATTACAATAGCAATCACTTGTATGAATGCCACCAAAAGTATCTGCAATGCTATGGAAGACAATGGAGTGATTCCGATGAGAGAAGAAGGCGGAGGCTTTCGGTTCAACTGATCGAACGCTTGGCATGCTGGCTGATTAAGTCTGTAGTTTACTTTGTCAGAAACTCTTGTTAACTATTTAACTATTGAGCTAACAGTAACAGAATGTCTCACACTGTTTCTCTCATTACTCTTTCTCTAGAAGCATATGAAACTCTTTATCAGTCAAATTGGAATAAAACTTTGAAAGCAATGAAAGCAAGAATCGGTTAGATTTGCATTCATTATATAAAAGGTATGAAAATCGTTGCAAAGTGTGGTAACACTTACGGTGTAGAGGATTATAACGGAGAAGAATTGTGTCAAACTGTATAACGCCATGTATTTCAATATACCAAATGAGGTGACAATAGAGGCCCGGCCTTCGCGTATGAGGATTGGTATACACGAGATATTTGGCGTTTTCGACGTGAAGGGCGACGCGACCGACGCCTCCGCCTCAGACAGGCTGACCCCCGCGTGCGCCTGCTTTAGGCTCGCCATATCATTGGCCCCATCGCCGCACTAATGCAATGGTTAGAAAATCATCATTTTGTTAATTTGACGCACATTTGTACCACAATTAAACCCAAGGAATAAATCAGATTAAAGTAATTAATTAAGAAAATTTATATTATCTAAATATAATAAATACCGTAATATAAGTATAAATTATACAGTATATAAACTTATTAACGGATCTTGGGAAGTAATTATTGTTTTATGACTTTAATTACTATTTCAAAGCAAATCTATCAAGTTCAAAGATATGTAGCCCTCAGATAATTATACAAAACAACTTGTTATATATTCTTAGAATATAAGGATAGTGTGTATGAAATGCTAGGAATACTAACCATTCCCACAATATATCCCAATTCTTGCAACAGCTCAACGAGTTGTTGCTTCTGTTCGGGTGCCATACGTGCGAATACGGTTCCTCTTATGGCCACTTTTTTGAGCAAATCCGGGTAATAGTCGCGTTTATAGAACTTACAGAACGGTCACTACCGGTGTACTTCAGATAGGAAGAGGACCGGCAGTTATTCAAACTTCAAGTGATATCTTACAGACGCAAAACAGTGGCCTAAACGTTTGAAGGTTTACTCACAAGGGATCTCTTCATCGTTATCCAAGTGACCCAAAGACTCGGGCTCTAGAAGTACTACTTTATGGTAGGGCTGAATCATATTGCAATCGCGCGCTACGCTCAGTGCCGTTAACATATTGTCGCCCGTAATCATAACTGTCCTAATATTGGCCGATAAGAGAGTCTCAATGATTGGAGTGGTCTCTGGTTTTAACATATTTCCCATTATAAGTAAACCTAAAAATTGTAAATTCTTCTCGAGATCCTCGCGACTCGCTCTTTGCATCTTCGGGTACGTCATCGACGGCAGCGGCCGATAGGCTAAGGCCAACACTCGGAACCCCTTTTCCGTGTACTCCATAAGAGTATCGGTGAAGTCGTCTGGCAGTGAATTGGGATCACACAAAACGGATATCGTTTCCGGCGCTCCCTTTGCGTACACTTCGAATTCAGATCCATTGGAGAGACGAGTGATGACAGACATCCGTTGAAGACTAGACGAGAAGGGAAACTGACGCAAAATTCCCACCTCAAGACCTAAATCCTTGTTTTTAGGTTTGACAACAGTTGGCGCTAATAAATCATATTTAGTAGTGTCCGAGACGTGGGGTTCTTCTAACTGCCATTCTGTGGCCGCAAACATCTTCTGATCCAAAGCATCGCCAATAATGTTGTCATCGATTATAGTCAACGAATGACAGGACGCCAGACATACCATTAACGGACCGAACTCTAACTCTGTCAACACGTCGACCGCCGATTCAAACTTATTCTTATCGGTGTTGACGGGAACCACTTCAGCGAAGTTGAGGTCGTCTTCAGTAAGTGTTCCGGTTTTGTCAAAACAGACACAATTAATACAACCGCTAATATTGATAGATCGCGGAGATATGCAGAAGATGTTTGAGCGCCGAAGTCTCGACTGCGCGAACACTACGCCTATAGTCATGGCTGCGGGCAGTGCTGGCGGTATGACAATCGTGATCAGGTCCAGCGCTTTAAGTAGTATTTTATGCCACGGAGTGCCGCGCATTGCCTTCAGGATCACTGTGTATATGAAACCGATGAACGCGAGCGCAGCCAAAACCGAGATAAACTTATGGATGTGTCGATTGAGCTTAAAGTCGACCGGTTTTGGAAACATTATGCTTCGGACTAACTCTCCTTTCGCCGTCTGATATGCCGTACGTATGATAACGGCCTTCACTTTGGCGTTATTGTAATAACGAGTTTGAATGACTTTTGTGCCGCAAAACAGTGTGTGCTTTGCGTGTTCTTTAGTGTCGTACTGTTCATCAATGGTTGTGTTGGGCAGCGGAGTCTTCGTCACCGGAACGCTCTCACCTGAATGCACACAATCATTATATACATGAATACATGATAAGCAATAAATAAGTTGATGTCTAACCGGTAAGCATGGCTTCGTTGACGATGACATTGCCGGAGATAACACAGGCATCGCATTGCATAACACATCCATAGGCGGGCACTTCGATCACATCTCCGGGAACCAGTCTCGACGACTCGATCTCTTCGTAGACATCGTTACCGCGACAGACATTAACGGTGTCGACGCCCTGAACGGTATCTCTTAATTGTTTTTGATTTCTTCGCGTCTGAATGACACTTGAGGTGAGGGATAGGGACGACATGATTACAATACAGGCCGCGTAGTAATAGTACTCATCGAGAGTCCAAACCAAAAGACTGAATATTTGAAAGATATAAAACGGTTCCAAAACTTCTTGGACTAAAATTTGTAAAATAGTCTTCACTTCCACTACAATGGCGTTCTCGCCGTAGAGAACACGGCTTCACATAATAGACAAATAAAAGTCAATTCATATAATTTATTGAGATATATTTGATGACAATTACCGGCTGTCCTGCTCTTCAATAATAAGGCCTTTTTGTTGATAAAAATAAGAGCAATAGATGTCTGAATCGAGTCCACGAACTTTGAAGAACTGTCCCTTTTCTGACTCCCAAATATAGCGGACTTTTTTATTTTCAAAGAATGTCAAAGTGTTTGTGAGTTCAAAGACACCGTTAGGTTGTGGCCGAACCAGACTATGAGATGGGTTGGAGTTATTGGAGGGCACTTCCAAACTCTCTTTGGACTGAGAGTATTGATATTTCAGCGAATTTGATGACAAATGTTCAATAATTTCGGTATACTTTTGCAAAAACTGATCCTTTAATTGTAATTAAAATATCGTACGCTTAGAGGAAATAATAATTAATAAATCCATAAACCAATACTTACGACAAGCAGTACTTTTTTGGCACAATCTAACGGACACTTAACGTGAGTACACGTTAGCATCCAATGAGGTTTCCAATGGAAAAGAAGCCGCAATAGTCCGCATGTCATCAGTATTGCTGTCCACGTTAACAATGTGTGGACAAAGTGTGGTCGATATCCATAGATTTCCTGAACAACAAGTTTGGTATATTATAATTATAGACACAATTATGACACAAATAGCGTACCATTTGATCCTCTTCTTCTGGATTAACGTAATCCACTCCATGTCTGATAGGCGGCGGACCAACTCTTTTAGACTTATTATTCTCATCTGTTTTAGACATAATGTGTCAAACAGTTAACAAATAAATGAGTAAAACTTTTAACTTTTCACTCCTATTATTATAGCTTTTTTATTGTAATAAATATATTATTAGAGGAATAAAAGTTTAATTTGAATGAAAGGCGAAATTTTTTAATATTGTTTCAAAAGTTACTGTTAAGACATTATTTGATATCATTAATGATTAGATAACTATTTTATTTATCAATTTAACAATTTATACTTTAAACACATGTAATGTTATTACATTTAATTTTATTAACAATAAAGTAATGTCGGATTCAAACAGTTTTACGTCAAATTTCTATAAGTAAACAATATAATCATAGTGAACGTTTTACCCAAAGTTAATGTTGTTTTAATGTATTTACATATTAAAAAGAGATCATAAGTGAAATTTAGATTAGTTTATAAATAAGTTTATAAAAAATACAACAAAGAGATGAAATGCACAATAGATTAAATATATTTGTTTATATAGTTATGAAATAAAACTTATAATCAATAGAAATGGATTTAAATCAAACGATGGCTGAAACTAAACGATAATTTTCTTTATTGTAAATTTGTTTCTATTAATTAATGAACAAAAATAATAATCAAATAATTAAAAATTTAATTTCAAACAGCGCTTTATATTTATTTGAAGGCAATATTTTAAAATAAAAAACACTTCAAACTAATTATAAACACAAGTCGTAAACCATTTGGAAGTAAATAATATGAGAAATAAATCAAATAATTAAATGCAATTGTATTTAGAGGTTATGGCCTAATATTGTTTGATATCGTATTTTATCAAATGTCATGCAATATTATGTGTTGAATAAGTTTTAAACTAAATATTTTAATTATAAATTGTTTGATATATTATTTGATACGTGAATAATAATAAGCCTAATATGCAATTCAATCACTGAATGACTGAATGATATCACGAAAAGAGTATTATATTAACAAAATATATTCAAATATTTCAATTCATCGATTTATATAATCAGGACATCAAACAAATTAGTGAACGATTGTAACAAAATGTTTGTTTCAATATACGGTATATTCTCCGGTATATACATGTATGAAATGTAATAATATTTGCAAACAAACAGATAATAAAGTAATGTTTGTTTTAATGAAATGTGTTTTTTCCGATAGGAATTTTTATTTTTTATTTATAAGTTATACACATTTCTGTACAACTCATGTAAGCGTTTATACCAGAAGTCAATGCTATTCTTGTTTTTCATTTTCATATCTGATATTTAAATATATAATTCAATTCAATGTAAGTATTTTATGAAATATATATGCCCAAAATGCCTGGCATTTATGCCTAGGCATATGCCCAGTGGGCATAATGCCTAGTAGGCATTTTCAACCGTACAACAGTCTCTCTCTCTCTCTCTCTCTCTCTCTCTCTCTCTCTCTCTCTCTAACTTTCAAAGTTACCATAACAATACATTTGCGGCAAAAAATTCATGATCATAGGGCTAAGTTTAAATGAAGATTTTAGCCATATTATTTAATCTTCACTAATATACTATATGCCAAATTAAAGCTTACAAACTAGATATAACTGGTATATATTATGAATACTGCTTTGTTGATTTAATAAGTATAAAAGTGACCAGCATCCAAATATCTTTAATAGTATAATACAATTGTTACGAAGCGCCAAATTTATTCAAATAAAAATAGTGTCGCGATTTATATAACATACTGTATATTATATTATGCTAATCAATAGTATGGCACTACAGTGTGTATGAGTAATGGGCGCACAACGTGGTAGACATAGACAATGAGTAACAGTATATACGAGTGGCGCTCACAATGTGTTCAATAATACAAACATTTGTTTATTTGATTGAAAAACACATTTTTATACGAGATTTATATAACCATTAAATCAGTGGTCACTCGACATCACCATCGGATCCAATGGCTCGTGAATTGTCGGCCACTTGTGTCACACAGATCTTGCCGTTAGTGCCGTTGAGGTCCACATCGGAGGCCATTCAAGAGGAGACCAATCTGTGTCCGATTCGCTGTCGATTCTCTTCCGATACCGGTTTGTGTCCAAATTGCCATCACTTGATGCCATTGTTTTAATCCATTGATTCTCTTATCCATACCATTAGTCGATCAGTACTTATGGATCATTAAAGGCTCGCAATTGAACATAATATCAGTGAACCCGAAGAATGTGTCGAATCAATCTGTTAACCCTAGTTAACTAAAGCGCGTTCAGAAGCTGCTGTCATTATAGTTCTATAATTTACATAACGTTAATTACCTGAGAAAACTCTGTAGCCGATTTTCATTTATGTAAATGTGTAGACAGCTGTCTTTGAGACGAAGTGTCGGCACTTGTCTTATATGTCTGATTGATGTCAGACTCAGTCTAATACTGAAGACAATCGAAACGCCGTTTAAAATATCAAGTTTAGAGATCATAATGAATAAGAAACCAAACGTTACGGAGAAGTGGCCACTCATTGACGAATTGCTTCAAATGAATGGCATTCTGGCCATCGGTACCGAAGGCGGACTCGTATTCCTTGTGGACCTATTTCTGGACAATATAACGCCTTTAAGTGAAGCGCTTATTCCGAAGCAGTTGTCGTTCATTGTCTGCAATTCAACTCATATTAATCTGAAGTCGAGGCGGAAAACGGCTGCACTTCACGACCAACTCATATGTCTTCCGCTAAATAGTGATTCACTGCTTAAGAGCCGTTTTGTGTACAAAGCAGATGACGGGACAGTTCTGTCGGCGTTTCCCAAGACTCAAGTGGCGGTCACTGCTCTTGAATATGTGCCGCAAACGGCTCTTCTCTGCATTGGTTTCAATTTCGGTGGCTTTCAGTTCTATAATATGAAGACATTTAAACTGGAGTGCAGTTGTGGTCTGGAGTATGGATTGTCACCAGTGGTGCGCTTTGCCTTTCAAGACCCCGAAAACGATCCCAAAAACCATTCGTATATTTGGGTGATTAGAGGCCAAGAGATTGAAGACAACTCTAACCGTGATTTGGATTCTTCTCAACAGAATATGAGTTACATCTCAAACGCAATCATGTATTCGATATCATTCGACAACAAGGAATGGATCCCCGAATACGGTATACTATACACTGGATTTCAGGGCTGTTCGTGTCGTTTCGAGTATATATTAGGTCCGAACCCACACTATCCCGACGCTAACCTAATGTTCAGCAGTCGTCTCATCGACTGCTATACCATTCCGTTGGGAAACCAGTCATTCAATAGATCGTCGGACGACGAGTCCGTTAACATTGACTTAAGTCTACTGTTCATCTCATGGGAAGCGTTGTCCGATTCGAGTGACAACAACTCTTCGACATATTTTGCGATATTTGATTTGAACCAATGGTATCGCTCGCAAATGCCCACTGACTTCAGGACACCCGTCGACGCGCTGTTCTCACCATTTCTGGGCGTTTTCTCGTTGGTAGACATCGCCAACAATATGTCTCCCGACGCCATAGTGTCGGTGCAGATGAATAGGGAAACGATCACTAAATTTCGATCGCAAGCCTTTCAGGACGACATCCATTACTATCCGTCTTCGCTGTCGTTTGAAGTGACGGTACTCTCGGAGTCGCAGATATGCGGCGCTTCTTATTTGGGTCTTCCGAAGCGATGTTTGGCTCAAATGATAACAAACGGATCTAATATTTTAATTGATCCCAAAGAGTACGTTAACTCTTGTGTCACATCGGGTTTAGTGGCGCACGAATTGCTTCAGAGCGCGCTTTCGACCGAACATTTGCGACAAATAGTGTTGACCGTCGCTCTGGAGAACGATTACCTCCCATTCCTCATACAAGTGATCAAAGACTGGTCTTCTGGTGAACTCACTCACTGTGGATGCGATTCAAAGTTTATATTAGACTGGATTTGGATCAGAGTTTCATCGATTAAGACTGAAATTGATTCAATCACATATCCGTTATTCAATTTTTCGGGACAATTGTTGGATAATTTGAATTTATCGCAACTCTATGCCTACGAAAGTGATCTCAAATCGTTAAACATAATGCTTAGGGAATTGCAGACAACAGGAGCGCCGACAACCACTCAAGGCCTCCACGATCTGGCCATCAGACAGGAAGTGACTCAATTGATATCACTGTATTTGCGGACACTCTTATGGCTCTACGAAATAAATCTATTGCCCGAACACTCGGAAGAAGAGGCTTTTGGGGAGCGAGAAGTTGCCTACCCTTCCACTCAATTCAAAGCCTATTACAGTCAACGCCGGCAAGAATTGCACGAAAATAATCCGACAGTTATTCGTCCCAAAGATCTCTTATTAATTGATGGAATAGTCGACTCTTTAAATCCCGATTTGTCTTCACTTTGGGTGAAAGGAGGCGGCGATGGTCTCTATCCGCCGCCGAACTTACATTCATTGCTCGCTATATTCCTCTTGGAATCGGCGTCTTTGGCCCAAAAGCAGGCGTTAATGCTTTACTCGCTCTTAGATTTGGCAGACTTTCTGTCGGACCGTCAAAGCGATATCGTCGAGAAGATACGGCTCTATCCGGCAGTATTTGGCCTAAAACCTGGTCTCATAAAAACAGTTCAGGCCTTTTGGGGTTTGGACCACAAGTTATTTGATTTCGCGCTTCAGTTTCTTTTGGATCCAGTCGTCAAACCATTACTATTAGGCCGTAAAGACAATGAGATATTCGTTTTCAATGATTTACAGCAAAGAATTGTTATGTCATTCCTATATCAGAATGAAATGAGAAGTGCGTTAATCTATAGTCAAAATTGTGGTCAATTTGCATTAGACACTCCTCTGAGGGAAAAACTACACTTAAATATACTATTAGTTAATCAACAGATTTCTAATGCATTCCAATACCAGAGGCTTTGCAGAAACGAAACCAATGCCACAGAACTTCTGTACCATTTGTTTGATTGCTGTGACAAAATGGGTGCCATTGAAGAGATATTCCGAATACCATTGGATCAGTTCGAAGAGGAAGTGTTCACCAATTATTTGCTATCGTCGGACACACCGAACGCCAAGCAAATGCTTGTTCTCTATTTGATTGTCAACAACAAAATCATTGACGCGACGAATGTGTTGAATGAGTTCAGCGACGAAATGATTAACACATCCGATAGAGAGTTGTCAGAGAAGACCACACAATTGAATCTCCTAATGAACGGCTATGTGTCAGCTCTGCCCCAATGCAACTGGTTAAACCGGTTTCTCTAGCGACGGTAGCTTCTCTTGTTTTGGTTTGTTTCGTGATTTTAATGTTAAACGCTATTTGAAGGGTAAGTTCACTTGGGATTTGGACACGGGTACCTTACCCATGCGCCCTCCAAAGCCATCGAGAATATTATGGAACAAATCGCTGATATGTGGAGCCGAGAGAAGCCAAAGGCTTCGCCCGATGTGTCGACGCCTATAAATAAAATGAAGAAATCGTAAGCATTTTAACATTTAATTTATTTAAACTTATTTTACTAATTGTTTTTCTTTTTTTCTAAAAGTGTCTCAAAAATATTGATTTCTCAAAACTCGCCATTCCTTCGGACGCCAATAGCTGACAATAAAAGCGGCAAAAAAGGCAAACAGTTATCCAAAACAGTTTATCCTACGCCTAAAGCCATTGAATTGAACGACAGGAGTGCCGCCAAACACAAGTCTAAAGCCAATGTCGAGCCCTCGACGCGAACCAGAAGTGCTTTAAAAGGAGCGAAACAAACGAATCAAATGAATTCAACGCAAAACGAATTACTTTTAGTCCTCGAAACGCCTCAAATCAAACACAAATCGTTGTCCAGTAAAAGCAAAACTAATTTAGACGTGAGTTCTGTGGGAAACTATTTCACTCCGACGTCAATACTCAAAGTCAAACAATTGATGAGACGATCTGTGAGTCCATCGCTTATATCGCCATCCATTTCGACTAAAAGTACTCCGAATAAGACATTAGAGTCGACTACACTTCAGCAGAGACTCCGGTTTTCAGGAATTCCTGAAAATTCTTTCACTGAAGACAGCGTTGAAAACGCGAGATTAGCGACAGTTAAGGACACATTTCTATTGAAGTCATTGAAAACTACTTGCGAACCAATCGAAGACTTGGATGAATCGGTTCCAATGGATGTCACAAATCAAACCAATCTCATTGAATTTGATACCACTTTGACTGAAACCAATGTTAAGTCTGGTTTAGATACACCAGAAATGAGATCTGGTTTAGATATACAGCAAATGAGATCAGGCTATGTCTTCTCTCCTCCACAGACCCGCTCTTCAGCTAAAAAAATACAACAAAGTATTTAAACATTTTTTTATCTGCTGTTTATTTAACTAATTATTGACTATTTGTTTATAGAGAAAGAATATAGAAATGTTGAAATTGAGATGTTATCGGAAACGGGAGATAAGCCTGAGTTTGCATTCTCTTTATTAGAGGAGCAGAAAAAGCCGACAAAACAGAAGAAGAATAAACCCAAGAAAGAAAAACAGAAGAAAGAGATACCAATTGGTAATTGTTTTATTGATTCTGTTTATAAAAATAATGACTAATTTATATATTGAATTGTATGACAGAATCGGTGGAAATGGTAGTCGAAGCGGAAGAGTCACTTCCAGCAACTTCTCAAGAGTTAACCATTGAATCGCTGGTTAGAGAGACTCCGAGTCGATCGCCAACACCCGCCTCGTATGTGGAGGACTCGGACGGGAAGAGTGATACATCGCAAGTGTCGTCCAGTAAGGCGTCCACACGTTCTTCACGTTCATCGAGAACTCCAACCAAAAAGTAATGCAATAATAATTGCTTTCATTAACTAATTGTTTATTACTATTAATATTTATTTGATTAACAGAACGGTTAAGAAAGGATCGGTTGAAACGCCAACCCATTCAATGAGACTCAGAAGAAGCACTTCTAAACCAACCAAATAATAATAATTACAACAATTGAAATGTTTTTACTGAAAATCCACAAAATTATCACTTGTATTGTTTCGCTTCTATTATAACACGTTTTCGTTTAGATAATGATTTAAAATTGTCACATATTTATAGTCTTTTTTACATTTAATTAAATAAATGAAATTAAATAAAAAACTTTATTTTACGCAAACTTTGATGACATTTGTGTCCAAAAAGAAGACGTTATTAATTGTCATGAGTTTTGATGACGTGTTTTGTGGCAATAAGTCTCAAACGACTGATGAGTTGTTCAAAGTTTTTTCATTTCAAGTAAACACTTGTCTTGAGATATAATCGCTTGAGAGCCCGCTGGTAACCTAGTCTGCTACCGGTTGTGGTTGTGCAAAGTCCTGAAACACCTCTCGCGGCTTCTACACCTGCCTTAGGCGAAGCTGACCTTACATACCGGCGTCTGGTCTCATCTCCGGCGGAAGATTGTGGTGCCGTTGAGTTGTCTCTTCACACCGTTGAAGGAGTCGTCTTCGCGACCGCTGCCGCAGATACAGTACGAACCCGTCCTCTGCAGCCGACAGAACTGTCGGGCGGTTCTCAACCCTTATTGTCAGGTAATGGACACCACTTTGTCGTCAAACCGACTGACAGTCCGTAACTAAAGCTGTGTTTATATTTGTGGTGACCTTTAGGTGGACTTCAAGGGCCGGATGTGGATCTGCAACTTCTGCTTCAACCGCAACGCCTTTCCCGCCCAATACGCGGCCATCAGTGAGACCTGTCGTCCCGCAGAACTCCAGTACTCGTCGCTGGACTACACGATAGTTCGGGCGCCGATCACTTGTCCACCCATTTTCCTGTATGTCATCGACACGTGTCTCGACGAAGAAGAGCTGACAGCTCTGAAGGGAACCATTCAGATGTCTCTATCGCTACTTCCGGCCAACGCTTTGGTCGGACTCTTGACGTTCGGCCGAATCATCAGTTTATGGGAATTAAACGAAAACTGTTTGCGATCTTTCGTTTTCCAGGGAAGCAAAGACTATACGGCCAAACAGATCCAGGAGTGGCTCGGCTTGAGTCCAACCGCCGGTCAGACACCACAACCCGGACAACAACCACAACAGCCGAACGCTCCCAAAAACAACGCCTCGAAGTTCTTGCAACCCGTGGGTCAATGCGATTCAATCCTAACCGATATCATCGAACAGATGACTCGTGACCTCTGGCCGACACCGCAGGGCAAGCGGCCGATGCGCGCCACCGGAGCCGCGCTTTCCATAGCGGTTAGTCTTCTGGAAGTGGCGTATCCTAACTGTGGCGCCCGCGTAATGATGTTCATCGGCGGACCGGCGACTATAGGGCCCGGAATGATAATCGACGACGACTTGAAGAATACGATTCGCTCGCATCACGACATCGAGAAGGATCAGGTGAAGTACATGAAGAAAGGCAACAAACACTACCAGACGTTGGCTCAGAGGGCGGCCGTCAACGGCCACACCGTCGACATCTACTCTTGCGCTTTGGATCAGACGGGTCTTCACGAAATGAAATACTGTGTCAACTCTACGGGCGGTCTCATGATTATGGCCGACTCCTTCGACTCCAGTCTCTTCAAGACATCCTTCCAGAGAGTGTTCGCAAAGGACTCGAAAAATCTATTAAAAATGGGTTTCAATGCGATTCTGGAGGTGAAGACATCGCGGGAACTGAAGGTGTCGGGAGCTATTGGTTCGTGTGTAAGCATGAATGTACGGAACCAATACGTGAGCGACACTGAGATCGGTATCGGCGCCACCGCTCAGTGGAAGTTCTGTGCGTTGAACCCAACGATGACCACCGCCTTCTACTTCGATGTCGTGCAGACACAAGCGCTCGCACAACAGCAGCAACAAAGGGGTTATATTCAGTTCATCACACAATACCAGGGAATGGATGGCTTCCGACACGTGAGGGTCACAACTGTTGGCCGCAATTTCGGTGCCAATGATTACGCCTTCGATCAGGAGTGCGCGTGTGTTGTGATCGCACGGCTGGCCTGTCATAGGGCTCAAGTGGAGTCCAACGGACCCGATGTCCTCCGATGGCTGGACAGAAATCTCATCCGTTTGTGTCAGAAGTTTGGCGAATACCGTAAAGACAGTCCGGAATCGTTTCAATTGGCGCCAAACTATTCAATGTTTCCGCAGTTTATGTTTCACTTAAGGCGCTCTCAATTCATACAAGTCTTTAACAACAGTCCCGACGAGACGTCGTTCTACAGACACTCGCTGTTCCGCGAAGACTGCTATAACTCGTTGGTTATGATTCAGCCGACACTCTTGGCCTACAGTTTCAATGAGGCCACACAAGCCGTACTGTTGGACACGTCGTCCATACAGCCCGAGCGCATACTATTGATGGACACATTCTTCCATATCGTTATATTCCGCGGAGAGACGATCGCTCAGTGGAAGAAAGCCGGTTATGACAAACAGGCCGGCTATGAGGCGTTCGGCCAACTCTTGGAGGCGCCCATCAACGACGCCAACGACCTGATGGTCACCCGCTTTCCATTGCCGCGGTATATAGTGTGCGATCAGGGCTCGAGTCAGGCCCGCTTCCTGCTCTCCAAAGTGAACCCATCGATGACACACAACACCACAATCGGCTATTACGGCGACCCCAACGCCGGCGCCTCCGCACCCGTACTCACCGACGATGTGTCGCTTCAAGTATTTATGGAGCACTTGAAGAAGTTAGCCGTCAATCAGAGCTCTAATTAGATAACGATTTTCCAGCGATTGTTATATTTTAAAAATTCACTTTAAAATTATTTGTTTTTTTGTGCGGAAATCATAATTTAAAACACCTTTTATTTGACACAAAATATTAATTATAATTATATGAAAAATAAATCTTTGTTTTATTTATTTGTGAAGAAACGGAAGAAAACAAATAATGTTATGATTTTTTGCTATATATTTAATTTGATTTTTAGCCAATTATTAAATATTTTTATAATTTAAAAACGATTGCATTAATCATTTTGTTTATCGTTTATAATTTCGCTTCAAAATGTGTCGCTTCTTCTCATCGTATTTGATATAAACGGAGAGTTTATTCAATGCATTCTTATATTTACTCATTTGTGGCTTTAATGCCGATTCTTTAACAATCATTTTCTCGATCTTCAGCTCATTCTTGTCTGTGGTTTGAGTTGTCTTATGAATTCTTCGGACAATTATATTGAAATGACTCAATTGTGTGGGCGTTACTAACGTGATGGCTGTGCCCTCATTGCCGGCTCTGGCCGTTCGGCCCACTCTATGTATGTATTGGGTCTCATTTCTGGGCGGATCATAGCATATGACATAATTGATACCATCGATGTCTAATCCGCGCGCGAATATATCGGAACAGATAATTAGATCTATTTTTTCGCTAACAAATCGATTCAACAGTTTTTCCCGCTTTTTGGCCGAAAGTTTGGACGAAAACTCTGCGATCACTAACTCTGACATCTCTTTGAGCAACGAATATAAGCGATGGCTGTTTTCAACAGAACCCGTAAAACACAACACTTTTTTATATTTCAATACTTCCATCAAATACCACACAATCAGTGGTTTTCGGTCTTCTTTGGCTATTATCATAAACTCTTTGAGTTCTTTGGGAATCAAATGTTTTGTTGCGTCAGTCACTGTAGTAATCGTGGAATCGGTTGAACCCATAAACAAAATCGGTTCAAATAGTGATATGAATTTGAGTTTCTCGGGATCAGTGGACAGAGTGGCAGAAAATAGGATCTTATGTATTGGTCTCGAAGTGACCGAATTATCGTTGAGACACAAGCACTCATTGGACACATTATATCGATTCTGTTTGTAGTCATTATCAGTGCCATCGATAGTACAAAAGCATTGATGTCTTCGGTTATTACCGAAAACTGATGCCTCAATCTCTTGTAACCAATTAAACTGCAATTCGCTGACCATTCGGTCGGATTCGTCCAACACTAAGATCTCTAAATGTCTTAAACTAAACCCTTTGGCCCTTTGGATCAAATCGACTAACTTTCCGGGCGTCGCCACCAATATGTCGACCAAACTGTGATATTTGGATCCATCTATACTTCTTCTGACAACAGAACTGCACTCTTCGTCAAACGATTTGTGTCCCACAACTAAACCCACTTTCAGTGATGTCTTCTGACAATAAGATTGAAAAACTTGAAACACTTGTACCGCCAGATCTCTCACCGGCAGAACCACTAATACCCTAACGTTTGTGACAACTCTTTTGCGAAGATATTGAACAATTGGTATCACAAAAGACAATGTCTTTCCAGAACCAGTCGGAGAACAGACACAAACATCTTTCGGACGAATTATATGCGAATTATTAAAACATTTCGCTAAATATGGGATCACTTGCTGTTGGACTGGAAATAAGCGGTCGATTCTGTTGTTGGCCAACAAAGCCATCATCTGTTCGTCGATTACATGCGAGTATTGATCCAAACATTTGCTTTCTTTGATGTCGCGGTTAAACACTATTGGTTTGGTTATCCATTTGTCCGCAATTGTCATTAACTTAATTGTCTTCACTTTCTTCACTTCGCCGATGACAGCGAAGTGGTTTGAATCCAACTCTTTGTCCGCCTCTTCGCCCATGTCTTCGGTGGTCTCTTCGCCGATGTCTTCGTCGCTTTGTTCGC